TTGCCATATGTAGCAAAAAATCTAACGATGATGGTCAAGGGCACTCTATCTATATTTGAAAATTGAAGAAAAAATCGAAATTGTTAATTCGAATTTCGAGCTCTCTGACAATCAGTTCGCAGAATGAAAACATAATTTCTTTCAAATTCTTGGAATTCATCTCATTGTTGTCGGTCGTGATGATTGTATGATATAGAAAATTTTCTCTCTTTCTCAGAAAGTATATGCGGACACCTCTAGTATCTACTTTCAATGTCATAACGAGAATAACATCTTTGAATTTTGCATCTAGTTTTGAGAATATTGCAAAAAGAGCAATGAAATGTAGCCGCACTATACTGATTTAATAGATAGTAAATGATATATGGTCAGTCAAAAGGCTACTTTCACCCCGGCAACGGTCCGGGATTAGTAGTTTGTGAACGTTCAACCATATTCAAAGCAAAATATGTGATCTTCATTAATGATTGTAAAGGCGTGCAATGAGACAAAAATTCAGTGGCCAATAGCATTTGTTTTGTGAGAAAATGACATCCTATTGAGAAGATCTTGTGATTTTGAATCTTTAAAAGCTATTTTAAATAAGAGATAAGAATGTTTAAGTTTCAAGAGATTGATTTTGTTCACACAAACTTATTTAAAAAACAACAGAAGAGTGTATGCAGGATATAGGTAAAATGTATGCCCTCGTTCTGTTGTTCGATTCAGAGAAGTAGAATATTATCTTATGAAATTATGTTTTGTATTTTATTATATTTTAAGTCTCGTCAACTATAAAGCGTCATTAGCAACTTTCCGATATGCAATTTCAATGTAAAACGTATCATTAATTAAGCTTTATATTATCATTAGGCTCGTGTGAAATGAGGTGTCGTTAATCTGCTTTACTATATAGTTCCTTTAAATTAGTTCTCTTTTCTCGAAATGTTTTTTCTTGTCGTATATTTCTGTTATTTATTTTTCGTTCCATTCTTTATGACTAACAAAATAGTGTGATTATTGTTGATTATAACCAATAAGATCGTAATCGTGTTTAAAGATCGTAATCCTGTTCAGTGCCTTGTGTTTTATTGCTTGTCTTCTATTTTGAATAGATGATTTAAATTTATCGACCAAGATGGCCATTGGAAATATTTAGAAAATATGTACTCTCTGGATTTCGAAGTGCAGATCACTCATCAATCACATCGTTGGCTGAATTACTAAAATGATGGTGGTGTGAATTATAAAGATGCCGGAAAAGAAATAGCAAATAAATTTGTCGGAGTAAAAAAAATTAATATTTTCCGCATTATTACTTTTTGTAAGGTAGACTCACATTTCTCTTACATTTGGAACAATATTATCCACCCAAAATGTGAAGAAATCTAATTACAACTGAGATTATTTCCAAAAAAGTCCATGTTAAGTGATTCTTTCAATTAAGCTAATCTTCTTCACTTTTAAATTTGATATTTGTTTGAAGTTTCAACATCAAAGTTTCAAAAAACTCACGCCATGTAAAAAATGCATTTACGAGATATATCCTGTATTAATAAGTTCTTGGCCGAAAAAATTCAAAACACACTTGTACAAATTTAATATTATTACTGCAATTCTTTATACTTATGAAAACGTTTATTTATAAATACGTGAAAAGTTATTGTTCTTACTCTGCAAACCACACTGTTATATTTATATCTGCTCCATTAGATCTAAATATAATGTGTGTTAACTTTAAAATTGTTGCGGGGGCAAAATCTAATAAGCAGGTCTGGTGCAGTTTTGAGCAATGTTTACTAGTCTTCTGCATTGCAATCAGAAACTTGTAAAGAGGCCTGAGGGAAAAAATTCACAAAAAGAGTAAACAAAAACATACCTGTTTTGGGTTTTAGTAAAAAGAAGACTCCCCAAGTAATACGTTTGTCAGTGCCACCTCGTATGTACCGATGAGTTCGAACCTTTTAATTAGCATACATTTTTGCGAAGAGCAAAAAAACTGATTGAAATAAGACAAATTATTTTTTTCTTGATATTTTCGTGAACTTCTTTAAATTAGATAAAAAATAACCTTAGGTCCAAATTACGTTGCATAATATAAACATTGGAACACAAAAATGTAAGCAAAGAAATCTTAACAAAACGAATAAAAAACAGTTCCTGGAATATGAATACAGCCAATACTGGAGGGGCTGTTTAGAAATGCTTATCAGGAACCGAGTTTCATGGTCGAATTGACGGGGAGAAGGGGGGGGGGATCTGTGTGGTTCGGAAGGGATAGCAGCGAAACCTGTAGTTCGCAGTTGTGTCTAACATTCCGGCAATCGCACTGGATGAGATTGTTAGTGCACGTCGTTGTGCGAGTGTACTGCGGCGCTGGTGGCTTGACAAGTTGCGTTTTCGTGATGAATTCTTTAGCAAGGTAACAATGAAGACATTTATTTTATTATATGGTAAAAGGAAACGAAAAATGCAAATTTATAATGAATTTCAAAAATTGAACTTGTGGAGTAGTTCAAGTAAAAAATGCAAGCGAATGTATTAGATTATTAATCTTGCAATATTGAAGTAAATTCTTTTATATTCTCAAACAAAAGCATGGAATTATAGTATGAAAGAAATGCGTTGAAAGTCACGTCTGGAGACTTTCGGTATTTTAATTTTAGGTTTATTTAGGCCCTGTTCACGTATCTATTGAAGTTTTAATGATAATGTTAAAATGTGTTCACTCCCTCCAGAGACGCATTTGAACAAAGTAATTTGACACATTCGCATTTGAAAAATGCAACAGTCGTACCGTAGTTACTCTCTTCTTATGAAGTTGAACTTTATACCCGTAGTTAGTACGCAGTACAATATTCTTACGGCTAGACACGAACCGTTGACAAGATGATTACTGTTGCATTTGCAGGGCGAATGCATTGTTTCGTCCTGAGCCGCCGACCACCTTATCTCCCCTGCGACGCCCCGCGCCGGCGTCTCGTCCGGAGGCCAGGTGAGACGCGAAGACCGTATTGCGAGCGAAGCTACTGCGTACGTTTTAGCGTTTTGCGGCAGTAGTTTATAGCATTTGATTTCGAAGATAAAATCAGACACCTCTGATAACATTAAACGTTGAAATTAAATATACTTATTTTATTACGTACACTACCGACAACTAAAGCGCCTAAAATAATTAAACAAAGGCGTAGACGTTGAAACTAGCCTTGATATTTTGACTGCATGCCATGCGGAGTATTCACACTGAATTTTCGCTTCTCTTTCGTACTTGAAGTATTTTTTAGTTGGAAATTGTTTCCTTCTTGCGGAATTGGCTTGCAATTTGTGCGTCCCTTCGTAACCCCACTCTGCTAGGTAGCGTGCTGAAACGGGACTAATTCGTGGCCGACGTCAACCCCTTTCTTCACGCTCCAGGTCTCTCTGAACCTTCAGATGCTTAGTTGTTCATCTCGCCCAAACATTTCGTTTCGAGTAAATATAGTATATAGTATGTATCTCCCAACAACAAAGTTTATCACTTAAATATTAATTAGTTATTAAAGGCCATTACGATGTCGATGGTGAGAAAATTCAGATACGTTTTGTAAAATAAAACATAATTCGTTAATTTTTGTAAACATTGTAAAGAAGCAATAAAAAATGGATAAATACAATTTATGCTCAAAGCCACTAGTTAATCGTTCTCCGTGTACTTGAAATGTCGAATTATGGTTGCGCGAGGTATCATTACCAAGGATGAAATATTGTTCCAACGTAGAATAATTTAAATAGCGTGATGTGTATCATAAATTTGTTTACTTGCTGTGACAGTGGCTCATAGTTGGATATTTTTTATAATAAAACATTGTATACAAATATTGTTTGCATTTGGTAACTGGTGTAGTCTATAATGGCCGTACGTCTGTGTGGTGTAATCACGGGTAGCTAGATCATGTAATTGAAACTTCGTTAATTTTGGGTTATCTTGTGTGGTGGAGTGAAATCAAAGACCGCAGACTACTCATAATTTTTGTTTCATGTTTCAGTTTTCAGTTTTTGACTCACAATTTTTGTCATAAAGCATCTTTGTATATTGAAATAAAGGGAGGCGGCAATGCTGGACACCTGCAGGGTAACACTGTCACTTCTCTAGCTTAAAAAATAGAAATTGTGGACGCTGTGAGTTGGTATTTTGAATAAAACGTGTACTTCCATTATTGATTATATTGTCAAAAAATTTGAAAATTGATACAAAGGAGCACGCTTTTAAAATAAACAACGATGTGGCAATGTTTTTCCCTCTTACCTTAAATTATAATTCAATTTTTTGTTCGCTTATTCACAAAAGTATGCACTCCTCCAGCAGTAATTTAAGGTAATTAGGATTAAGTCATTTTACCTTTCGGTGCGGCACATTTACCTGAAATACTATAAACGTTATTCAGCACATTTTGAAGTCTATTTTTTTTATTTCTTTATTTTCAACTGTGAACTTTGTGAGAGTAGAAAGTAAAACAGGCCATTGGAGGATATGAATAAAATTGAACAAGCAATCTTCTGTATTTTGTCCTGTGCAATTTAAGAAATTTTATGAGAAATATAAAAGAAAGTTAAATCCCCCTGAAACAAGAAATAGAATCTTCTCACCTCCACTATAATCAGCATGATGCAAAGGAGACATCTTGAGAATACGTTAGCGTGTTCTTGTTTGGAAGTGAAAGAGACAAAAAGAAAATTAAAAGAGTAAGATGAATTTGAGATGTGTTCTCTCCACTAAATGTTTCAAAAACTTCGGACAGAGAGAATGACAAACGTGGAAGTCCTCAACGCCTATAGGAACCTTCATTATTTATTCAGTACTCTGAAAAATGTAATGAAATACATTCTTCGTTAGCAATTACTTCATACAATACCGTAGCAAAAGTCTAAAATAGTATGTATTTAATAAATTGTTCATGACGGCGATCTAATCGCAAACGAAAGAGGGGCTCAAAACCCAAAAGTAAAGATAAACAAAAATGTGTAATAAAAACCTTCGATTGAGCACTGAAGATGACGTAAGCCTAAAGATCCTTAGTTTCCGCTGATATGTAGCTAGAGAAAGACCAACTTGGAAATACTACAATGCTTGTAGGAAACCAATCGTATACACAGTCACGATGTGACTCAGTACCTTGCAAAAATGATCGAGCATATTCTGTATTAGCGATTGCTTCCTATCGTAGCAAATCCTAAGTAAATGTGACGCATCACATACTTTCTCATGTTATTTCTAACTTTCGCAATGTTTCAAAAGTTCAGAGTTCAATGGAAAATTTAACATGAAACATTTGTAAAACAGTCTTAAAGATGAGTCCCAAATCATTTTAAAAATATTCGTTAAAGGCAGTCTGATTTCAATTTTTATAAGCGGGCCATTTGTATAAGCGGGCCTTGCTCCATTCGAAAAAAAGTAAATACAAAATTTAAAGTATTGTTAGGGCTTCATGTAGAGTCCTCCCCCCCACACACACCCACGCACACATATCAAATATGATTTTTAAACTCATGGGCCCATGGCATCAGCCAGATCGATCGAAGAGTATGTCTTGATGAAAATGCCTTCCATTTAAAGCGATAGCATTGTTCACGAACGGGCAGAAAGAAATTTTGCCATAAATATTTTTTGGGGTACTAAAGAAGCACAAAACGTGAGCTCAGATTATACACCATATTAGAGTAAGTTATTTACTGCATATTGCAGCAAGTAGTATACATTATTTTGATATCAGAAACCTACAATAAGTTTTGTGTAGAAAAAATGCAGTTTGAGGTTCCAGCATTACAATACTTTCTCAGTACTATGAACGTAGTATGCGAAAAAGTAAAGCAGAATGTATTAAAGAAGTTGTTCACGTTGCTGTATATTAAATCGCAAACTAAAGAACTAAAAACTGGAAAGTGAGAAGCAAAAATGTTATTTCCCGCTTTCGATTAAAGGCGGAAGTAGACGTAAGCGTGAAGCTACATAGTTTGTTGAATCTCTTTTGCTAATTATGAAATTATGTTTAAATGTATTTATTAAGTTATACACACAATGAATACAATTCTACCTCTACCGACGTAAGAAACTGACGTTCTCCTCTACATCATAAGAGCATCAGAATTCACGAATGCAAGGAAATTCTGGTTTCAATTTTTATCTTGCATTAGGTAATAATGTTTCGTACTGTCATAAAATTTTGAAGATTACAAAAATGTGTACTTGATACTCGAACGCCTTTGTGACTGGTTTTCGATCCCTAATTTGTTTCCAAACATGTTCGTTGTAATCCAATAATTCCAAATTCTAGATGTCCCAAAATATTTAATGAGTTCGGAATGAAAATGGTTTAAATTTTTGAAACTATTTTATGTAAAGATAATTGTTGCTGACGTGGTGCGACGGACAAACACGAGGTAAATAAGATGCAGGTTGCATGCAAATAAGCCAATTTTTAAAGTATAATAATTTATTCATATTTTATTTATTTTTAATATCCCTCCCCCAGCTCCATGCGACCTTCGTCTGCCTCGTGTATTGTAGCAGAAGCATAGGCGTTATCAAAATGCGTTAGAAGTAGTGCGTGTAAGACATTTGCAAGTGATTCTTAGAACGTGGAGACGTAGTAGATTCTCGAAGTGTCCCCTCTCGCCCCGGAACCGTAGTCCAGGGTTAAAGTTAATCTCGTTGCGGAGCGCGGATTCAGCGTAGCCCTTGTTGCAGGCTGCTCGGCGGTTCCCCTTGGTCGCTGGTATCGCCACCGTCGTCGTGCGCGTCGCTGACGCCCCTGCTGGATTCCATCGGGCGCTGGCGCCTCCAGGCGCTGGCGCCGCGCGCTGACGCCGCCGCCCTCGCCCCCGGCTCCCCGCGCAAGGCGCCGCCGCCAGGCGTGGGTCGCGGCGGCGGCCNAGGTCAGTGGGAAGGCGACCACTCGCTGCTAGCACAATGGTCTATACCCAAAGAAACTGCAGTAGGTTCCCAGCCAATTCATTGAGCGACGGATGTTGAACTTCGTAATTTCATTCAAATTTATTTGAAACAAATTCATTAACCGATTTCAACGTTATTATACACGAACGATGCTCTCAATGAAATAATGTTACGATGGTTTCAGTAATGACAAAAATATAATAATCACTTCTGAAAATATAAAGCGCACAAAATCGGCATTCATGTGCTGGGCTGGAAACAAGGACTTTCGATGCTGTAAATTACGTAACAATGGCAGATTTAAACAACTTCAGTTAATATCCTGTTCTGACTCTTTCAAATCTCCCTGTGATGATGGCTTCCATCATGATCATAGGCAAAAATAATTTGTTCGAGGTTTGATGATGCTATTCTAATTTTTGTCAATGAGCGTTTTTCACTCATTGGACTGTGATTTCAGAGACGGTTCCATTTCTGATTAGTTTTAGTAGTAGGAACAATATGAGATCAACACGAAATGTTCTTTCAGCACGATTGCATTGCCCAGGTGTGTTAAACACTCCAGAAGTGAGAGACCCATAGAGCAAAACATCTCTTGAAATATAATTACATTGTTTTTTTTGACGTCTGCAGAATCCTTCCGAGGTTTGCAAGTTCCTCACATGTCTCAAGAATAAATTGTTAGAGAGAATCAACCAGCGAGTTTCACACAACGCTCATCGGTTCGTCGTTCTAGCTTCATCGTCTATCATCGTGTACGCTGACGTCTCCACTTCGGAAAGTAGTAGTCCACCGAAAAACTGTACCGACTGTTAACATTCCACAAACGTCACGTAATTATGCATGTAGCACTAGAGTTTTGCTCATGAGGATATTAAACCTTTATGCATGATTATAGTCAACCTCACGTGCGGCTTCAATTTCCGTAATTTGTCTGGAGGTACCCCATGCACATTACCGAGTGTGTAAGCACTAGTACTGCTACGCTTTGTACTCAAGTAAGAGATGCCAGTCTAGAGCAATTGCATTTTCCATTTCTCATTGTTGTCACAGAATTATTTATAAAATAACCCTCGTATTTGTAACTGTTACGTAACATATTGCTACTTCAGTCATCTCATAACCCTTCTCCAAACGAAGGACGAGAACTTCGAAAATTTTAATTCTGACAGTTAATGTGTGTTAAAAATACAAACGCAGGAAAAACGGCCTCTCCTCATACAGACCTATAGCTTCTCAATTAATAAAAATTGAACCCTGCTTTATAAAGTACAGAAATTGATCACTAAAGTTCGGCATTTTGGGTTCCAGGATACGCGAGTGTGCGACTTTGAAGGTTTTATTGCTTAATTGCGTTTTTCGATTATAAATATTATAACTTAACACGCCCGTTATGCAAGCCACAATAAAGTGTGAGTGAAATGTTTGAAGAGCTTGGCTCTGTCTGGTCGAAAGGCGCTGGAGGCGGAGAGCGGGTGCATCTGCCAGCGGGCGCACGCTGTGGTGCTGTGCCACGTGTGCGGCTGGTACTCGCGGTGCCGGCTCATGAAGCCGTGCCGCGAGCACCCCAACACGCGCTTCCTGCTGGACCTCGCAGTGTGCCCCCGCTGCCGCGCGCCCTCCTACCAGATGGACGAGTGCGACTTGGACGCGCAGGACCTGCCGCCCTGCCCGCTGCTCATGCCGGAGCCCTCGCACGGGTGAGTGCGCGTTTGGACATTTTCGCAATTCGCAGTTAATACTGTGTATGGCGTATTATGAGAAGTGTATTCTGTGCACTTTTCTTAAATTATAGGATTGCCAAACTAAGCCATAAACAAGTTGAATTCTGAACACAGATGGAAATATCTTTTTGGCAATGGTCGCCTATTGTTTTTACATTCCCGCGCTGGCTGTGCTCAAGGCTCGATAAAATCATGGTAAACTTGCGTGAAATTTCTGAATGATGTTATGATATTCATTGAAAAGAAAATTATTCGAATAGTGAAAAATGCCACCCACTTAATCCCTGCAAGCCTCTCTTCATTGAGCTTGAAATCTTACCATTGTCTTGCCTATTTATTTAAGGATCTGTAATATTTGTCAAAACTGCCTGACTTAACGGTGTGAACATATTTTCATGCAATACTGATATTTATTATTACAACACGCGTCGTAGAAATCACATTCATGAAATGTCATCAATAGCTTATTACCAGAAATTCACATACATGTACGTTACTTTACAACGCATTGCCTGATGACATTAAACAACTGAAGTCGGTACACTAATTGAAGTTAAAAGTAAAATATTTTCTGCTGCATAACTGTTTCTATACAGTTAGACTGTACTGATCATCAAAAAGAAAAATATTTTATTTTAACAAAACAGTGATATATAATGAATTTGTTTACATTTGTATTGTCTATTTTTTAAAAGACTTAATATGCTTGTAACAAATAATGTACTTCAGCTTCCCGGTCAATGACTCCCATCTCGATCAGGTTTTTGTCCAATTTCCCTGATACATTGAGCAAATACTGAGATGGCTCCTTGTTTTGCTTCTGCACGTAAATGTACGACGGTTGCCTTTTATGTTTCGGGATTTGGCAACCCTGGTGTTGCAATCTGGCAACTGACAGCTCTATCGCAAAGTTGGATGTTTTGAGGTTATACGTACTCAGAACGTTTTGACATACTAGCGCTATTTGTGTTGTTTACAGTAACTTTAAAGATTCATCTTGGCCCCAAAATGGAATTAAATCTTGAATATTTTCGGCGATTATTTTTTACAACTTTCGACGTGGATTAACTCAGCAACAGTGCATGGATGAACTTAATTCAATTTTTGGAGATGAAGCTGCATCTAGGACCAGTGTTTTTCGATGGTATGGTGAATTCAATTGTGGTTGTAGTTTACTCCAAGACGAATTTCGCGAAGGTTGTCCAAAATCGGTTGTTGTTCCGAAAACCATTGATGCTGTCCGTGAACTGATATTGCAAGATCGTCATGTGTATATACTCTCTGATAGTGAGATTGAGACAACTTTAGGCATTAGTGGGACCAGCATACATTCAATATTGCATAAACATTTGACTGTCAAAAACATTTGTTCGCGTTGGATCCCACACAATTGTCAATCGCCCAACAAAAAAAAAATGACCCGTGTCGATTGGTCGACAGAAATGCTCAAAAAATACGATCGCGATGCTTCGAAACACGTCTATGACATCGTGACAGGTATTGAATTGTGTATTTACGCGTATG